CATGATTCCTCTCCCTCTCTCACTTACATACACACTCGTGCACGGACGCACGCAAGCGAACGGACGCAAGCACGCAAGCGCACGGACGCACGCACGCACGCACGCACGCACACACACACAGTGACACACACACACACTCTCATGATTCCTCTCCCTCTCTCACTTACATACACACTCGTGCACGGACGCACGCAAGCGAACGGACGCAAGCACGCAAGCGCACGGACGCACGCACGCACGCACGCACGCACAGGAAGAGAGGAGGGGGGGGGAGCACACCTACAAACCCATCGGTCTACAAGTTTGCACTATCATTTTAACAATGGTATCTGTGTCGGGCGTTATTACTGATTTCTAGAACGCGAGCTAATATTTAAACGCTTTCACTTTCACAAATAAGGCAAAACAACAAAACGGATAGAAAAAGTACGAATATATATATCTATGCGGGGATATTCATGTCAGCTACTTATTTCGAAATGTGTAAATGAACGCACTATTCTATTGTACATTAAATATCTGTAATTATGTCGTTGAAAAGTAGTTTTGATAAAATGCGTTTTCACAATTTTTGACCAATCGTAGTTGAATTTGTACTCCGACACACGACCTAGATTAATATATTGACGTGTTTTCAAGCGATATATTGACTTGGGGCTCTCTTGTAAGCTGAAGGCTCCCAATTGCCTCAGAGGATATATGCGAAGGGGGCGTTTTGCTTCCAAACTTGACATGACACAAATAGCAAACACTATGCATTATTGCGACGCGTTTCTATGCCAGTTTTTTAACAAGTCGGTTTTTTACATTTACCAAGGTTCACGGCCATTGCTTTTTGTGATCATGCGCAATTGTTCTCTTACTCTCGTTTGTTTGGCTTATTTATGTCCCCGCACTAAAATTCGCGCAAATTCATAACCTATAGTTCGAAATATCGTTATCGGCGGATCGATGCGACTATGTACGAAGAGAAAATTATATGCTGGTTGTGGAGAAAATGAAAGCACCGCTCACAGGGCCATAGGCTGAGCAAATTCCTAGGGGGCAGATAGTGGATAGTGGCGGATCCAGGATTTCAAGGAGAGGGTGATAAACAGAAAATGTTGAAAATGTAGATAGCAGGAGTTGGTATTTGAGGCACTTTTGAGTACATGTACAGCCTTCGTTCTGACTACGACAATTCTGTTTTAGTAGAATTTTTATTTTTTTTGGCTCCAAAATCTAGGGGGGCAGCTCACCTCCCCCCCCCCTCCGCAGGCTACGTCCCCGAATTGTTGCTTTTGCTTTTCACGAGGTTCTATTGGCTAGAATCGCTAGTTTTGACTCATGTTGCCACATGATCAAGATTCACATGACTTTGACTATAGTTGGCAGCAGCTACAACTACAAGTAAACAATTAAGAGTGTGAAATTAAGTATAAAAAGTATTTATTTTTATACACAAAAGACTGTGATAAGTCAAAATCTCATACACTGCCTTTCATCCCGGTCATGCGCAGATTAACTGCATAATAATTTACAACGTGTTTAGATAAAAACAAAACAATGATATCTAATGATTAACTTATTAATTTTCCAATAGCTCTTACTTAGGGAAGAGAAATCAACTATCAACGACCAACTCCATGTAGAATACCAGAATCCTACAAAATAATACACACATGTACACACACACACAAACAAATACCTCCCCAACCTCCCTCCCCTGACGTTTTAACCCCAGTGCAGACATCAATGTGATGGACAATATACAGCTATTGACTTGATACACCACCTTCGACCATCGCCACCGATCAGTTTACGTAGAACGATAGTTAAGTTGGCGCAAGAAACGTACACCTGTGATTAGGGGATCCCTGCTCGGCTCGTGTCAAGCAATCTTGTGGAATACGGCAGTGATGAAACAGACCCAGACAGCCACTACCGATACATACGCCCCCTAGGGAGTAGACAGAGAACAAGATCACTAGAGTTACCACCAACGCCCCCTAAGGCTGCAGCCTCTCTCTGGCGGAAGAAACACCGTGCGCGTGCGCTGCATCACAGCGAGTGATCTCGGGCGGGCGTCCAATCAGAGGCCGCCGGTCTCCTGAAAACCCGTAACGCGACAAAAGGCAGTGCAACTACAACTCGTCGTGCTCCTCCTCCTCGCTCGGCTCGGCGCCATCTTGCGGCGGCCCGCCCGCGCCCTCGTACAGCTTCGAGATGATCGGCGTGATCTCCGCTTCCATGTCCTTCTTGTGCTGCTTCAGGTCATCGATGTCCGCGTCCGGGTTCGCTTCCAGCCAGGCGATGTTCTCGTCGACAAGCCGCTCGATCGTCGCCTTGTCGTCGTCCGACAACTTGCCGCCCAGCTTCTCCTTGTCGCCGAGCTGGTTTTTCAGCGAGTACGCGTAGCTCTCGAGCTCGTTCTTCGCCTCGACGCGCTCCTTCACCTTCTTGTCTTCGTCGGAGAACTTCTCGGCGTCGTTGATCATCCGCTCGATGTCCTCGGGCGACAGCCGGTTGTGGTCGTTCGTGATCGTGATCTTCTCTTTCTTGCCCGTGCCCTTGTCCTCGGCGGACACGTGCAGGATGCCGTCGACGTTGATCTCGAACGTCACCTCGATCTGCGGCACGCCGCGCGGCGCCGGCGGGATGCCGTTCAGGTCAAACTTGCCGAGCAGGTGGTTGTCCTTCGTCATCGGTCGCTCACCCTCGAACACCTGAAGCAAGAGGTCAGCGAGAGTTCAGGCGCGAGTGCGGGAATGTCGCGGGTAAATCGAACTCGCCGAACGATCGTCGAAGAAAACGCATTCGGCACGTCAGCTACTGGGTGTCGTTACTCGGGTGAGGGCATTTGGTAACTGTGGTGAGGGCATTTGGTACTGGGAGGTGAGGGTATTTGGTACTGGAAGGTGAGGGCATTTAATACTGGGTCGAGGGTATTTGCACATGGTTGGGGATATGTGTGGATATCAGTCTTGGAGTTCGGTTGGTGAGGGTGGGGTTTTCGCTAGGCACATTGGGTAAAAATTCGCCCGAGCCACTCACCTGAATCGTCACGGTTGGCTGGTTGTCGGAGGCGGTGGAGAAGATCTGAGATTTCTTGGTGGGGATCACAGTGTTCCTAGGGATGAGTTTGGTCATCACACCACCGACCGTCTCGATGCCCATCGTTAGCGGGTTAACGTCCAACAACACCAGGTCACCTGTAAGCAAGCAAGGAGCCGTCACTCAACGTCACGACATCAATTAAAAAAATCTTTGTTTGACCTCACCCGACCCAGGCTGAAGTTTGGGTAGGTAGGTCGGCTTTACTTTTTTTTTTTTCAAGGCAGGGGTCTTTTTACAAATTCAGCGCGGTGTCTACATGCTCAGGTGTGCTTGTGTGGAGATACCTTTTATGTTGAATGTTTCTTCTGCTTGGTACATAATGTATTGCCTAGAGATTTATATAATTTACAGTGATACAATTTGTTAAAGAAAAAAAAGAAAAGAAAAAGGGATTTTTTAGTCGGCCCCTTTTTGGCAGGTCGGTCGGGTGAGGGCAAACAAACAATATTTTTTATCATGGCACAACTCAACGTCATATCATCAGCTGGCATACGACACAACCTAGATCGCCAACTGAACGACGAATTTCCCAAATTCAGATATTCATACACGTTGGCTCACGCATGAGCATTCACATCACAACAAATTTATGCTCAACTTCCAGAAAACAGAAATACATTGCTGCCGAATTATAAAACATGAAAAGCAAAACGGTGAAACTCATCTGCTAAATTACGAGCACCCCAACGAATAGACGCGAATAGATATTTTTTAATAGAAGCACTACGTGGAATCTATTTGTTATATTGTTCTATTGTTCTGCACCTATCCTAGGAGCCTCTCTACTAATGAATTGCTGCTTAGCTACTGTCCTCTTTGTAAAAGAGACTGCCACTCTGTAGGATCCCCTTTGCTAAAGAAATGGTCTGCAAGAATCCTCTTTGCTAGAGATACCCCCACTCTCCTAACACAAGATGTTACACACACACACACACACACGCACACACACACACACACACACGCGTGCACACACACGTACGTACCGGTCTCGCTCTCTCCGCCGAGCACGCCGGCCTGCACTGCAGCGCCGAACGCGACCGCCTCATCCGGGTTGATGCCGCGGCTCGGCTCCTTGCCGTTGAACAACTCCTTGACAAGCTGCTGGATCTTCGGGATGCGGGTGGATCCGCCAACGAGTACGATCTCGTCGACCTCCTGCTTCTGTAGGTCAGAATCCTCCAGCACCTTCTGTACAGGCTTCATCGTAGAGCGGAACAGATCCTGCGCGACAAGCAAACGCGTCACAATCAACGATCGCCCCGAGTGACGGGACAGCACAAACATGCAGACGAGCTCAAGATACTAATTAATGCAATCACAAACAAGCTGATAAGCTCAAGAGACCAATGCGATCACGAGTGTATCGGCATGCGTGGGAACACTGTAGGAGTGTTACTGACAGACTGGCTATCCTAGTCATAAGGAGAGCAAGCGGTTATGAACCCTCATAAGGATTAAAGGGTTTAAATTCCACGTATGGAAAATATTGTAGCATTTTTACTGCCGGGCAGGCGAGTAAAGTTAAATTAATTAAAAAAATAAAACCAAATTAAAGTAAATTAAAGTAATTAGAGTAAAGTTAAGTAAAGTTAAGTTTAAGTAACTACAGACGCTTATCTGACGCAGCGCCACGACTTACCATGTTCAGTTCTTCAAACTTAGCCCTCGTCAGTGTCTCTGAGAAGTCCTCACCGTCGAAGAACGACTCGATGTCGACTCTGGCCTGGTGCTGGGAACTGAGCGTCCTCTTTGCCTTCTCCACCTCGCGTCTCAGCTTCTGCACGGCCCGGTTGTCCTTCCTGATGTCCTTGCCGGTCTTCTTCTTGTACAGCTTGATGAAGTGGTCCATTACTCTCTGATCAAAGTCCTCACCACCTGTAACAACGTACGACGAATGTAGCAGCCGCGTTGCTTTTCTCGAATGAAAACAATCGCTGCAACGCGAGAGGTAACGATGATAGCATTACATGCCTCAGACTGACGTACAAATTAACTGATTGTCATTGCTTGTCCAACAGTAGCTTATGGTCATCACGGGCACTTCTTTCACCATCGTAAAATAAAACGCCGTAGCAAAAACTGCTGCTGCTTACCGAGATGTGTGTCACCGTTGGTAGCGATGACCTCAAAGACACCATTGTCAATGGTGAGCAGAGACACATCGAAGGTTCCACCACCAAGATCGAACACCAACACGTTCTTCTCGCCTTCCTTCTTGTCCAAACCGTAAGCAATCGCAGCAGCAGTCCTACACGAAGTACGGAAAAATGTGTAACGATACGCGCCAACGACGGACACAGAACAGTATCGAATGTAGCAATTAGTACCTCAGCGATCTTGGTGGTAAACCAAAAACTCATCAGCGGATCTCTGCTAGCAAATATTCGTTCATCATCATCGGTACTGAGACTAGTACTAGCGCATGCCATGCCCCTACCATAAAGAGCCGCTCCTGAGGGAAACACTGGACGTGCCCCTGGCCTTTATATATAAACAAGTGCTGATCTATATCAGTTTGACTGCATCGTAGGGCGAGACGCGACACGAGACGACGTCGCGACACTTACGGTTCGTTGATGATGCGCATCACGTTGAGGCCAGCGATCGTTCCGGCGTCTTTCGTCGCCTGCCGCTGCGCGTCGTTGAAGTACGCCGGCACGGTGACGACGGCGTGGGTCACCTCCTTGCCCAGGTACGCCTCAGCGGTCTCCTTCATCTTGCCGAGCACCATTGCCGAGATCTCTTCGGGAGCGAACATCGTTGGCTTGTCGTCGACGATCAGCTCGACCATCGGCTTGTTGTTCTTGTTCTTCACCTGCATATAGAGGTCGGCCATCTAGATTCCGTCTTTCCTCTCACAGTCGCCATGAACCACATTGACATGCAAGACTCCTGCTCGCCCACTCCCAAATGAACCGCATCAACTTATCAACATGATATACTACCAAGAAGGAAACTGAGGGTCTATAGTAGAACTTGCTTTTCAAACTATACGACGGCCCCTCGAGGTAGACGGCTAAGGTAGGCAGCTACTTTACAGAGATGGGTTCACCGTATTATGGCCACCGAGGAGAAATGCCACAAGCATCCCTCAGGAAAAGATGATCATTCTACCGAGATGTTCATAGTTGTGACTACAGTCACGCGTTTCACGGGACATCGAGCTCCGCACCACGCACGCATGCACACATGCACACATGCACACGCACTCCCACACACCACGCACGCGCACGCGCACACACATCCGCACACACCTCACACACTCACACACACGCGCTCACGCATGCCCCCCCCCACACACACTCGCACTCGTTCCCACCTTGAACGGGAAGAACTTGATATCGTGCTGGATCGCCGAGTCCGTCCAGTCGCGACCGACCATGCGCTTCACGTCGAACACCGTGTTCTCCGGGTTGCTCGTCAGCTGGTTCTTGGCGGCGTCGCCCACCAACCGCTCTCCCTCCGCCGTAAATGCAACGTAAGATGGCGTGATGCGGTTCCCCTGGTCGTTGGCAATGATCTCAACGCGGCCGTTCTTGAAGACGCCGACGCTGGGTTAAAAACGCAAGGTCGACGTTGGAACGCGGTGCCGCCACAAACAACTAGACGAGCTTCTAGCTATATGCATAATATATATACATATGTATATATAGTAGAAAAGTTCTTGGGTTTCACGATATTCAGTTGTTAATATTTGAAAAAATAATACTCCAACATTCTGAACACACAAGCATTTTTATCTTTATAGAATCTGTAAAGATGAAAGCGCTAGTGTATAACGAAATGTTGGATTATTCTTTTTTCAAATATATATATATATATAGCTGTGCGATATGAACCATATGCACAATGCTATACATGCAAATCGTTATATGATCTATACAAACACAGCTGAATTCACCCTAAAAGCAATGTTCGACTATTGTTACATGCTCAGACTACTTCAATCACATGAGAATGTTGTTTTAATTGATACAGAATATCAGGCAATCAGTATTAAAACTAACAGGTCTGACAAGTAAACTGTCTATAGGTACAGCAGGAATTCACAGAAACCCGTTTGAACCCTTACCGCCATTGTAACCTCAATGGCTCCATACCTCACCAGGTATATCCCAAATATATTAAAATCCTCATGAAACATTGAACACATTCTATTAAGTCGGTTCCAGCTTTCTTTACACAGTTCAAATTCTAATCATGTGCGTAATTGAACATGATACTGACATTACTGTACACCCGAATCACTAATTCACGAATGTAATATTATTAAAACCTGTAACATTTTCGTATAGTAAAACAATGATAGTTACCAAGAGTATGTTGTGCCAAGATCAATTCCAATCACGGTTCCAACGCCCTTGTCTTTCTGAGTTTTGTCATCGTCATCATCAGCAAAAACCGCGTGTGTGGCAAACGCCACAACGCATAATGTGAAGAATAACTTGTTCATTTTAAATCTGAAATAGTACGAGACAAATTTAGACTTCGAAACGGTTATACACCAAGTTGACAAGTAGTTAGTTATACTATTACACGTCACAGCTATTCACAATTTTAACCACTGCATAACTAAGGACAGCACACTGCCCGTGCCACGTTGAGTGCACGAGTGTACAGCTGTCCCAAATGATAAATCCCGGTGTCTTCTCAATTTGTTAATAAATTACAATTAAAACGATGACATTCACTTACCTTGTTATGTAGACGTCACTAGTAGACGAAATGACAAAACACACTTGTTGTGTCTCTGTAGAATGGATCCAACCAGTCTGTTCTTGAAGAAATACCAGGAAACTTTTACCAGGATACGAGATTCGGTCTGCTTTTATGGCAAAAGCAATGCCGGGATCGTGGCTCTCGCTCATTGGCTGGATTAGCGAAAGCTGTCTAACGCTGATTGGTTCTTCTTTAAAGTGACACGTCAGCGAACATTCTGTATGACGCGTCATCTCTCGATGGTTGCGTCAGAATACATTCAACCAATCAACTTTCCAGGAATCAAAATCAATGGGAAAATATGGCAGCTTCCACGACGAAGTAGGTGTTGTATGTTGTTTTCGATAAAATGTTGATGCATTATGTTGTCAATGCATTTATAAACGCTGGAGCTATTTTAAATTAATGATAATTTAGTCATAATACACGCATAATTGTTTAATTCGTCGACACCGGTGTAGTAAACGTGCCGTCGGCATCTACTCTAGAGCAGATCGAATTCTACATAACTGTCACTGGCAGCAAGAACCAGTCCGCACCTGCAGCTACAGAGTACAGCACACACGCTGCCATGGACTATATATATTAAGTTATTAACATATATTAGTCATATATTAGTACATATATGAACATATATTAGTTAATATATACAGTCAATAGCTGCGTGTGTGCTGTAGCTGCAGCCTGCAGGTGCGGAGTGCGGACTGGTTCTTGCTGCCAGTGCCAGTGGCAGTGAATACATTACTGCTGTCATTAGAGTATTTATACTGTCAGTGTCATTATGTCATTAGACATTACAATTTACATTACTCATTAGACACTAATACTAATAGTATTAGTAATACCGCGTTCACACGGTAATGGGTTGGCTCGAGCTAAATGGGCTAAATTTGAATGAAGTAAGCCGGGTCATCCATATTTGGAATAAAGCCAGTGTCCTCAGTATCAACTTTACCAGCCACCTTCTTCAGGAACACCCCTTCAAACTCATCACCCTCTACTACATCCACCCGGGCAATATAATTTACAACACGCGACTTTCCTGCAACTTTCACCACAACAAAATCACCATCGCTTGTCTTGGTGTCTTCGAATGTTTCCTCATCTGTAGATTCGTCATCATATTCAAACTCCGATTCTTGGTCGGAACTACTAGTCTGGTCATCAACCTTGGCATGCGTCACTCGTTTTCTGCTTTTATTGAACAGAGTCTTTTTTGCAGTTGTCTTGGTCTTCTTCTGGCAATGCTGTTCTAGGGCTTCAGCAATTCCATCTCGAACAGGGGTGTCAGTGAAGATCTTTGTACAGCCTTTGTTTTTCCTTTCTAGTTGTCTTTTTCCTAGGCCCAGCCTTTGGAACGGGAAGAACTGCAGATGGTGACACATATGCCTCACCAGAATCAGGAAGTGTGGTCGATTTTGCAGCTGCCATGGGAGATACGTTCTGGCTGGTTGTTCCTGATGACGTTGATAGCCCAATCGGTGGATCAAACACCCACACATCACGGCCAGCATTATCCTGCTCATCTTCGATATTGGGATTGCCATCATCATTTGGTTCATCTGTTGCCTCTTAGTTGGCCTCAACATCCATGTCACGATCAGTTGTTGCAGCTGGTGCACAGTCTAAATCTGTGAACAGGTCCCTGTTAAACGGAAAAATACCAGTGCTGCGAAAACCAGATAAAACATTTGCAGGAATCATCGATGCCAGGTGTGCTGTCGTTAACTACTGATGGGATGTCATAGATGCTGACTGTCTTCCCAGGATTTGACTGCATCCATGCATCCATTGCTCGATTGTATGCCTTCTTGAAAGGTCCATACACAGACTTGTCTAGAGGCTGGAGGCGATGTGATGTATGTTGTGGTAAAGTAGGCATCACAATTCCATTATCTCTAGCCAGGTCAACAGCTTGCAGCGTAATGTGTGAATAGTGGTTGTCCAGGATTAGTAGAATCTTGTGCGCCTTACTGCATCGTGTATGCCGAATAACATGATTCAAATATTCAATGAATAGCTCTTCATTCATCCAGCCACTCCTTGTAGCGCAACCGACGGAACCAGCTGGAGCACCCCTGATGAAGTGATCACAATAATTGACCAGGGGAAATTTAAACATAGGTGGAATCACATTTCCAGAGGCCCCAATCCCAATACAGAATGTCTACGAATGTAAAACTAAAAATTCCAAATGTTAATGGATTACTAAAGACTGAATGGGCTAAATTCTATACTGGGCCTCCTTACATAATCATCATCACCATCATGCATCATGATGGCAATGTAAATGAGAGCGACTGACTGCATTTTTGTACATCAGTAAGGTGGTATACACTGTATTCTGGATTCAAGTGCTTGCTACTTTTAAGCCCTAAAGCAATCCCTGCTCCAAGCCTATCCAGGATGATTTGTGCAAAACATGTACGTCACTTGCATGACTACTTTCATTGGCCAAACAATCGAATTGTGCTGACAAGGATTTTCAGATTATAATATATTTATAAACGGGCAGTTGTTTCCATTTATATTGCCATAGAGAGTGAGGTTTCTGCTGGATTTTACAAAATTTCTCTGAGTAAATTAAGTTGTAACCAAGTGCATTAGTGGTAATTTGAACAAGTGAATACTGGGCTATGGGCTGATACTAAGATGGAGGCAAATTGCTGTGTATTTTTGTGCCCTAGCGATGTGAAAAAAGTGAGTGGCATACAAATTTGGCACACATGATTTCCTACCAGCTATAGCTTTTGTGAATTTGCGCATGGTGGGATGCATGTAATAAGATTGTGTAGTGTAGCAAAGCATTTAAATAGCATTTATGTGGAATTACTAGGCGAACGAGAGTACATAATCATTAAGATGTTGGAGGCAAATCACATTTACCAGTTGAAATTTGTGTCCATCAGTTTATTATGGAAACGGCCTATGTGCCTGTTAAAGATGTTGTCAAGTTGAAGATGTTGAGCAAGTTGAAAATGTGACTATAGGGGCATGTAGAAGATTTGTACCGGGGGGGGGGGGGCTAACCGTAACCCAAACTTGCGAGCACGCGAAGGGGGGTCTGGGGTCAGAAAATTTTGAAATTAGACCCCCTTAGATGCGTTTTCTGCGCGAGCAGGGGGGGGATCCGGACCCCCTGGATCCCCCCCCTGTACACGCCCCTGCAGTCGTGCATTTTTATCATTTTGTTATGAAATGTAAATGCGTCTACGAGTAGAGTAGCAGTGAAAATGGAAAAACTGAATGTAATTAATGTAATGTAATTAATATAATGTAATTAATGCAATGTAATTAATGTTGCAAAGTTCAGTCCAAGGAAATCAAATGCAGTGATACAAACATTTCATTTAATACCGATGAACATTCAGATAAGCTATATGTCCTAGATCACGCTATTGCAAAAATCTTTGGCCTGCTAATAACTTTCGAGCTAGCTCACTCCAATTTCCTCCAATTAGCGTGTGCCCTCCTCTATCAGGCAGTGATGGTATAACTTGTTCCTCGTCTTTTTTCGGTGTTAAAATTAACAAGAACTTGTATAGCCTCTGTAGAAGACACAAAGTGCAACATTGTATGAGAGAATGAGGACAATGTTTCACAGGAAGAGAATTTCAATATTTGATTGTGTCCACCTGAATAAATAATTACTGCATAGCCTCGTCACACTAATAGAAAATTAATTGGCAATTAATAGGCAATACTAGATAGTTGCAGCATGCCTGTATAAAATACCTGTATTTAGTCTCCAAAATGCAGTGGCTTGAGAAATTTTCTTGGTGTAGAATGTGTGTCTCTACAGTTTATAATTTATGTATGTGCCGTTGATTGAGTTCCTGAGTGGATATCACTCCAAGACTAATATGAAAACTAGAAAATAGAATCATAGAATAATAGTACATTTTTAATTTACATGACTGTTACAGTTTTCTACACAACATTATTAAATTTTCTAATCTGAAAGGCTATTAACTGCAGTAGAATGTATCGTTTGGTAATTAGTTAGTAAAATGACTTTTCTTCGTGTTAGCGCGTTCATGAACATGTTTGCCACCAGGTGTCACTGTGTTATATTATTTGTGACAATGAACCCCTCCCGATGTGCCTTCCCAGTGCAGTTATTTCATGGAAAAATATTTTTAGAAATAAATGATTAAAACAGCAATTAAATAATATTGCTGCAAGTAACGAATGTGTTTAGTTGTCTCATTTTAATATGTTTTGTTTATTAGCTGCTGGCGCATTTGAAAAACACTTGGAAATTGTGAAAATCAATGTTAACTATACTATTTAGGAGTAAACCTATTTCCACGAGCACGTGCAAACATTTTACGTAAAATTTTCCACATGGTTCTTTTTACTTTTACACTGGAAGAGAAGCTAATGTTATTTAAATTGTAGTGCACCGCGTGTGTAGATGTCTGTGAGAAGGATGTTTATGTGGCAGGCATTGTGTTGCGGGGATATGGGCTGAATGCTCATTGTTACTGTGCAGGGGCAAAACTCTCCCACGGCTATGAGAATCTGACAGCTACCCAGCCCCGTGCTCGCATATCCGCTTGTTATCCGTAATCCGGTAAGTCATGGTTAAGCAAAGACATGCAGTACGACGCACGTCTACTGACAATCGTAAACGCTGTAGACAATTTTACAGGACACGAGAGAACTAGAATGTAAAAAGTAGCTCAAAGTTTGCTGGAATATTCTTGTGATTGTTTGCACAGGCTGTGCCTGAACTTACAATGTATATAGGTTACCAAAGTCCAAACCATGATATTTTCTGACCGTATAGAATAGTCTTACTTTCGCTGCATAGGTAATTGTAATAGGGAAATGTACCCTCTTTCCACTAATGAGACGAGGACAGTTTTTGGTCTACACAAAGGTTTTACGGTTTTAGGGCTGCAGCTATGCAGTTATATGGCGGTGTTTGAAGCACTGTAGAGTTTCGCTGCACTATAGTCGCCCGTATGTGCGTATCCCATTTACGATGCTGTTTCGGAGATGTTTTATTGCTTGTAATTGCACAGATACGCTGCTCTCCGCTATCCTCTCCTATTATCGCGCTGTTTTCTTGCCGAAATTTGGCCCGTCACGCGGCGTTCCACTGGCTTGCGTTTGCGCGGCGGGCGGTACGGAAGGCTAGCTTGTAGAATTTTACACGCAGGGGCGGATCTAGGGGGGTACGGTGGTCCAATTTTGCAGTAATGCACTAATTAAAAAAAAAAATTTTTGGGAGAGGTTCTCCAAACCCCCCTCAGTGGCCTTCGGCAGCTTTTTAAAACACAAGAAAAATTAAGCAGGAAAAAGTGCCCTTTATT